TATGGATAATTCAAATAAGCATTTCTTTTGGCTTGAAGTTGACATGTTTTTCAGAGTGGTAAAAAGAAATAATAATGTAAGATCATTGAAATAAAGGAAAAATCCCATGGTTCTGAATTTAAATTAGAAGAACCAGTATATATTCATCATCTTTATTCTTAGGAAGACATATTTTCAAGTCCTATTCTCAAGACTTCAAAATAATGGCCAGTCTCCTATGAAGGTGTCATCCAGTTTTCTTTATTTCGTTTACTAAATGTGGCTTCCTATAAGTGCTTACAGCACCTTGAGAAAATAGGTAATTTCTTGTATTGGGAAAGAAGTATATAAGATGAGCTAAGAATAATTTATAATAAAGTTCTCAAACATATCAGGTTGTTTCAAAAGAACTCAAGAGAAAGAAGTAAGTTTCCATTTAGAGAGGAGGGACTATTTATTCATTAATAGTAATTGGATGCAAAGGATTTAAACATATTCACAGTAATATTTTAAAACAAAATGAATAAAAACACAAACACAAGAGACCTTTAACACTTTATTGATCACTTTTGGAGAATACCAGGAAATTATCTCATTTTTAAATCCAGCAAGCAGAGCGAAATCATTCAGCATGTATCCTGATTTTCCTATATGTTTGAAGTTTTGTACCTCAGAGGACTAAATAGTTGATGAGAAGTTTCTCCCTATAGGAATATTTCAGGTGACAAGAAAAGGACAAAATTAGAAAATTACTATTTTGCTATTGGGATTCACTTAAATTAGGAATAAGCAGACCTTTTGCTTAAAGGATCAGGTATTGAATATTTTAGGCTTCGTCGACTATGCAGTTTCTTTGCAGCTATTCAAGCCTGCAGTTAGAACATGAGAGCAACCATGAGCTCTATTAAAAATATGGACAGGATTGTGTTATAATAAAACTTTATTTACAGAAACAATCGCTGGATTTGCCCATAGGCTGTAGTTTGTGGAGTCCTGATCTAGATAATGATCATCAGTGTCTGAGTTTTCAAAGATCTCTGTCTGTACATCCACACACACAAATGATATTTGCTTTAAAATTATACCCATGAAGGAAAAGTTGTTTGGATAGTGATGGAGCAAAACTGACCCCATATTGATAATTACTGAAGGTGGATAATGGGTGCAAGGTGGACCATTATGTAGTCTCTCCAGTATTGTATTTCAGAACTCATATAATCTAAAGTAATAAAACTAAACACAACAAGGCATTAGCTTACATAATCATTTTAGATCATTTTTAATAGCAAAATTTCAGCCACCTTGCATCGAATAAAGAATTAAATATTTGAGTAACAGAACTTCCCTGAGCATCTTGAAAACATCATGAAGTCAAATACCTACTCTTAGTACTTCTGCTCAAATCATATTCTTTATTTTAAAGAGAAAAAACAATAAAAATGATACAGAATTTCAAAACAAGATGATAGGAAATTAACAATGGTTTTATATTGCATATGGTTATCTTCAAAATAGTTGCTCAGATTACCAGATACAGGCAGGCAATATTGATCAAATAATATAAACACTAACTGTTCCTTTCAGTGAAATAATAAAAATTAGTAGTATAATTGTCTTAGCTATCTTTATATATATATATATATTTTTTTTTTTCTCTTTCCATCTTTTCTCCTTTCCCCCATCCCAGTTCTTTTGTTTTGAGCAGTTATTTTTCTTTCACAATATCTGTTGTACCTTTTGGATCTTATCTACTCTTTCAGTTTCTTATACCAGGGAGACAATACAATGTTTACACATGTGGGTCTAATTTATTTCACTTATGAGTATGGTCTCTAGTTGCATCCATTTACCTATAAAAGCTTCGAGTTTATCTTTCTTTGTAGCTGAGTAATACTTCTTACTACCACTGTGGAAATCAGTGTGCAGATTCCTCAAAATAGCCGTATTTTTGACATTTATTCTATCTAAAAAATTAATGTGAGACTGACTTTGTTAAAAACTGAATGGCTGATGCGTTAGCTTGTTTTCACTTGTTTTTGTATAAAACACTCGATTGTATAGTTTCTCGTCTTTCAACTAAGTTTAGTAAAATCACTTAACTATTCTGAATCTTAAATTCCTTGTTGTGATCAAGTAGGGACTTTCATGCCTTACTTGATAATGATATCAGACCCTGAGACAAACTGGGGATTCCCACAGGAAGTTCCAAGGAACAGACCTCAGGAATGCAACTGTCTCAACACTGGATTTTACAAAACTGCAAAATACCCATGAAATCCACTACAATTCTCTTCCTACAGTGATACAAGTGGGTAATCAGAGAATTTTAGTGATTTAGGTACTGTTATGTGCTTGATAGTGTCTTCTAAATTTATGGTTGATATCTTAACCCTCAGTAGTTCAGAATATGACTGTATTTGCATATAGATCTATAAGAGATAATCCAATGTGAATGGTGTGCTTCTGAGAAGAGATTAGGACACAGATACACAGAGAGAAGACCACGGAAAGACACAGAGAACCATTTGCAAGTCACAGTCAACCCTACCAACATTCTGACCTTGGACCACTACACTCCCAAGTTGAGAAAATAATATCATTACATGGACCCTAGCAAAGCAATAGAAGGGATTTGTATAGATAGCAGCACAATATCCCTTGAAGTCCTTTGGGTTTCAAGAATTACATTTCTCAACAAGGGCACAGCTCTGATGGAATGGGAGATAAATCACATGATGGGAGGGGCCGGAAGATAATGCAGAAGGCTGGGAAAGAAAGGGCAAAACCAAACCAAATCAAACACCTTTCTATACCAGTGAGCCTGAAAGGTCTGAATTGTAGTAGGGTGAGAATTGCTGGGCATACTCTCTACAAGTGGGGTTATAGTTACAGTTATTGTCAGTGACTACAACTACTAATAAACATATCTGCAGGAGCTACTCCTGGGGTAAACAACTATTTCAGAGAGAAAGCTACATAATTGAAAAAATAGTTCTCTAAAAGAAAATGTATACAGGCTTATTAATTGTACTTAGAGTTTTGAAAGAATAGAAGATGGGGGAAATGTGTGTGGTGACAAGATATCAGTTTTCATTGTCTGCACTTATGCTTCTTAGCTTACTCCACTCTTGGAATGAAATTTTACGATTGAAATCTCTCCCAAAAATCCAGTTCAAGCACAGTCTTCTCCCCGTAGCATTCCTGGAAGCTCCCTACTAGATAATAAATACAAATATAACAGACTTGACATTGAGCATAGGGAAAGAGCCTCTGAGCCTTTATGTTTTTGTTTTATCATCTAGTTAATTATTCATATGTTTTACTTTCTTTCAAGATTGAAAGTTCCTGGAGTTCAGGACTGTCTTAATTTTTATAGCTCTACACTGCCCGGCAGAATGTATGTTGCATGTTGACCCTTAATAAATATTTATTAAATTAAATTAAATTTTACTTTATCTTCAGAGCTTTCAGGAACTAAGCAGCTCATGATCTAGTTCAAGTTTGGTATAAAATTCCTCAAGGGCTGTAGACACTATTTTATCAGAGTGAAGCTCTACTACCCTCATATCTTTCTTTCTACAGACTTAACCAAAATTTAGTAGGGCTCTTCTGAATGCTTTTCCTAACCAGGACTTGACTCTGGGCCTTCTGTGTTGTATTGTCCAGTTTTAGCAAAGATTCTGCTAAATTCATTTAACCAGAATCCCCCAAATTTGATATCTGATCACCTTGGATGTCTTGTCTGGTTCTTCAACCTCCAGCATCCCCCAGCTGATATCAAATCACCTGGCCTGACTTCAGCAACAGTCCCTTTAGATTTGCTTACCAGCATTCCTCCTCATCCTTGTTTCTTCTTAGTGATTTTCTATCCATTAGCTCCTTTCTTCTTCTTACTCTGGGCTATAAATTCCCACTTTCCTTCCTTGTTTTTGGAATTGAGCCTAGTTCTATACTGAGCTCTCTTTTTCCCTGTTGCAATAATTTTATGAATAAAATCTGTTTTCCCCACTTTACTGTCCAATTCTGTTTTATCTGTGACATGAGCAGAAAGTGTTGAGGCCTTGCTAAGTATGATGGGTGCTTCCACTTTGTCCTACCCATCTTATCCTTGTTAATTTGGCTCAGATCCACTGTCACTGCAGGGCCAGGTAGAAAACTCCGTTAAACATGGATCAAACAAACAAATCTTTTCATTCGCTGTGATACCACCTTCCTACCAATGTATGGCCACTACACCAGGATCTGCAAAATTCTCTTTTACACTTTTCATTTTTGTTTCTCTTTTATTAAAAAATGAGTGATTGGCATTGCATAGGTTCATTCTCCTCAGAGTGCCAAGATTTTTATATTTTATCATGTGCCACAGATTTCAGTAGGAAAAGGTTCAACTTCATTTTTCTTTTATGAACTTTCTGAAATGTTTTTGATTGTAACATAATAGACTGGTAATTAAATACTGATTTAGGGACTGATTCTCTTTTGTCTCATTTCATTTTACGGGGGAAGAAAACAGTCACAGCCATCAATCTGTGGGGCCTGTGGTATTCATGGAAGGTTTTGAGGAGGAGCTTTTTCATCCACCATTCTGCAACCATTTTAATGGCTTGTGGAATTTTCTCTGCCCTTGCTAAGGTGTCTCAAGGGAATCCCAGCCATGTCTCAATGAGCTCGAGACAGACAGGGTAATTCTACACATCTCAGGGTGTCTTTATATCCTCACGTATGCACTCTGCACAGCCTCTGGGTCCAGGTAAAATGCTGGCTTTGGTGACTGGCTTGAAATCTGAGCCGCTCAGACATCTGCTGAGGACACTGACTATGGCAGAGAAAGTGACTCTCTTCAATTTTTATTTGGGTCATAAAAATTCATGCTGTGCACCGCCTCTTTAAGAATCTGTGCCATTAAATGTGGCTAGGTCCAGAATACACTCTGGAGGAAGCCAGAAAGAACATTAAAATGCTTAGTCTATGACACACTTCCTTATTTTTGTCATTTTGACATTTATGTGTTGTTTCATTAGGGATTTTTAAGAGAAGACCCTTTTTCGGCAAGAAGTTTTCCCCAGATCGCCATAAGAATCAACAGTTTATCATCAAACAGCTGTCTGGTTTGCATTTCCACTGAGCTGGACCACCTGCCGGCTGTTAACCTCTGGAAGGTTATTATGATACAATTGTTGTTGTTGTTTGTTTAAAAAGTTTCAGAGCTCAAGGAAAATATTAGTAATGAGTTACTTAACCTGCAGTGTTTACTGTTCCCACTCAACTTGCAGATGGTGTTCCAGTGGCCAGAGAGACAGAGGACGCATCTGGGGCCAACACTATTTTGCACTTGTTTTGGAGACGAACCATAAAAAGAGGCCTGGCAGGGAGGAGCGCTGCCCTGAGGAAGGAGGGGCGGACAGCATTGCAAAAGCCCTTTAAAAGGCAACAACCGTTCAGTCGGATGGCTGAGGTTGAAAGGCACCATCTCAACACAGCCCCGAGATTTGGACACGGCCGGGGTCCCGCTGAGCTTTGCTAGACCACCTTTGCTTTTGAGCAGGTGTGAACAGCCACGGTATTTTAGAGCTTGCTCACCATCTGCTTTCCTTCCTTCCCTGCACATCCCTCTGACTAATGGAAATGATGGCTGCGTGTTTTCGCAAATGGCCGTAAGGGGACAATTTTCAAGGCCCTATAAAAATCCAATCCCATGATATCCTTGTGTATGCTCTGATTAAAGGCAGCCTGCCTCTCTTCGGGTCTTGGGGGCCAGAAGGCCTGAGGGCCATTTGCAGAAGTGGCAACGGCTCCGTCTGTGTGTGTGTGTTTGCACGCAAGTGTGTAAGGGTGGTACATAGATTAGGGAGCACCGAGCACAGTGACTGGCTGGTGATTTTGCCTGTTTCATTCCCTTGTTCACCTCCATCCATGTCTGGAACAGACCAGTACACAGTGAGCATTCACTGAGTAGTGAATGAAAGGATGAGTGAATGAATATCTTTTCTTTGTTTTTGGTCTTGTTCATTTCTTTGTCACACAAGAACTAGAGATTAGTGGTCAGGAAGTACGGCTGATGCTCAGCACTGAAGTCATGGCACTGCCTCAATTCTTCCTGGCCAAGGGTTTCAGAATACTTAGGCTTGAAGGTTTAGTCAAGAGCACACTGGGACTGATTTATCAGACAGAGTGGAAAGGGAGGATCACTGAGATTTGGCTTTGAAGCAGCAATATGTCTCTTGTTCTGTAAATTTGGGCAGGTTAATTAACCTCTATGATTCTTAGCTGCTTCATGTACAACACGGACTAGTGGCGGGTGTCCTACAGGATTTTTTTTCCTGGAGATTGTGTAAGTAAAGTCTAGCACAGCGTAGTGTGGCAGTAAGTGGCTACTATTATTAATATGTTTCATGATGATATTATCAATACTATTATACAACAAATATTAATATCATTATTTCTCCTCTTCCTCACACTCACCAAGAAATGAACTTCGTCCTGACTACAATTGTGCCAGAAACTGTCCAGGATTTCACAGGTCTTGATCTGTATCTACCAATAGCTAATTGTGTGTCACTAAGTAGCTATTGTAATTGCTACCAAAGACAAGTCACTTAACTTCATTTTTCTTGTATGTAATGTAAGGAAATATTATGCTGATTCTACTTGATAGAGAGCTTTACAAAAAGGAGAGCAATGTGATTGGTTACTTTGCAAAGTTTTTACAACCCTGGGATGTTTAAGTGAAGCTACCTAGTCAACTGTTATGTATCATACCAATGTCAGTTGTTTGCTTCAGTTCATTTCTACTCAATGTATGTTGCTGCTGATCTACTGAATGCTGTGCCACACACTGGGCTGAGTGCAGTGTTATAAAAACATAAAACCAGACTCCTAATTTTGAGGAGTTTTATATGGTGGAGGGGATGTTCACGGCAGTGTACATGAGGTGTCCCTGAGGTGGTGAAATTTGTGCTTATTTACTCTGTTTATTGTTCCACGTTAGCTCTGAAAACAAGTGTTTGGTAGAGACAGAGCTGGGACACCTGGAGGGGGGTCCCCTCCCCGTGCATTTGCATAGGGTTGCCAATAGGTTGTGCTGCCTTGCCTCTGGAGTTGTATTGGGCTGGTCATAAGAGACTCACAAAATCAATACCTGCACCATCTCATGTCTTGCTCAGAAAAGTGGCAGTGAACTCTGAACACCTCTCGACAGTCTCCCCACAGTCTCTGCTTCTACTGTAAAGTCAAGATTGCTTCCAGTGAACTCCAAGATAGCTTATGATGAAAGGATGATGGGTGCCTTGGGGAATGACTCTAAGTCTTCTACACTTACACCCTCAGTACTGAGTACATGGTGTAGTCCTTGGAAGGCACTCACAACTGTGTGTGTGAGAATGAATGATATAAACTGACCTCTCCCAATTGTTCCAGAGTCCTCTTCTTCCCTAGCCTTGCAGTTGTTCTCATATATGTGTGAGAAAACATATATTCTCCTTCATATATATTCTCAATTTCTTCCCTAATCTATATCCATTTTCTAGTTCAGCTAAAAATTCAGCATTTCCACATGGCTTCTTCTGCAGCTTGTTTCTAACCCCCAAAGCACAACCAAATTCTGTCTGGCATGTACTGCAGCTCTCTCTCTGTCTCTCTCTCTCTCTGTGTCTCTCCATATATATTTTGCATTTTCTACTTTGAGGCTCACACCATTCAGTTCTACTGGCCTCTACCTCTTGTACTTTTTTTAACCATCTGCACGGTTCCTTCTTTTTCAGTGAAGATACTGGTGTTTTCCTCACTCTTCCTGGCCCTAAAAATCTGTGTCTTTGTTCTTCTTCTTATTTTTTGGTACCGGGAATCAAACTCAGGACCTTGAGCTTGCCAGGCAGGCGCTGTGCCACTGAGCTATACCCCAACCCCTTCCTTATTCTTCTTCTCTGTCTTCCAGCCAAGGTATGCCAAGATACAGGGCTAAAATTTCATCCATGTGGCAATGTCCTACTACCCTGGCCACTTAGCTGCTTTGTCACTTCCGCTCTTAAGTGACGCCTCTGCATGGTTTCGCCTATTTTCTGTTATGGCTGTGCTCTAGGCCTTGGAGTCCGACATTGCTGCTTTGTTGATAGAACCACTGCCATTTTACAATGTTACACTGCCTTCCTAGCCTTCTGGGGCTATCATTGATCCTTATCATTCAGTTCACACAGCATTTTCTAGCCTTCTAGGGCTCTGGTTCTCCTGTCATTGCCTTCTTCCCTACTCACCCTGGTCCCATAGTAAGCTTTAAACCACTCTTTTGAAAGAGCCTTTAACTCCTATGGTTCACTGTTGTTTTCTTTGTCAAATATGAGGTATGATCAAAATGTGCTGTAATGTTTACATTTTAAAAATGTATTATGGTAAAAGACATATTGTCATTAATTCCCCTAGAAATACTCCCCCTTGCTTCAAATATACTTATCCCATCATTTTTGCCACTTTCTGCTGCAATTCTGGAAGTCTTTTTTCATGATTATCTTTATGAGGTGAGATAAAAACTATGGTGACTGCTGCCTTCCAGTGCCGCTCGATAGAAAGGCAGGCTTGTAAAAGCATTACGGTGTCTCCATCCACCGTACTCACCAGACCTGGCCCTGTGTGACTTCTGGCTCTCTTTCAAAGCCAAAATGGCCACAAAAGTTAAATGTTTGAAATTAACTGAGGACACTGACAGTGGCTACAACAACAAACAAAAAATTCTCATGAAGGAGGACTTCCTTAACTGCTCAGGAAGTGACAAGAAGATGGGATAAGTGTTTTCAAAGAGAAGGGGAGTATCTTGAGGGGTACTGTCCTGGTTACTTTTCTCTCCCTGTTGAGACAAAATACCCCCAATGCCCCAAATTAAGGAAGGAAAGATTTATTTAGCTCACAGTTTGGGGAGCTTTCAGTCCATACTTGGCTAGCTCCAATGCAGGGAGGCAGGGCACAGGGGCAACAGTTCAAGGTGGCAGAAGATAGCAAAAATAACAAGAACAAAAGGGGGAGAGCAAGCCTCTTTTCCTCCCTTATACTGTAAGCAGGCTACCCCACTAGGGCGGGTGCAGCACTCACACCATCTCCCGGCCCTCCTCTTGCACAGGATGAGGATGGTTACAAGAAGACCCTCGCCCCCTGCTGAGTCACTTAGTTAAACTTCAAAACTTCTCAAGTTGACACAGAGTATCAACCATTACAGGGACTAATGACAATGTGTCTTACACTAATACTTTAAAAAAATTTACTGTATTTTTTGATCACCCTTCATATGCCAACAAAAACTCCATGGTAGATTCTTGATCACTCACTATCTGTTCCGGGCCATGTTATTGAATACAGTAATCCCTTGCGTATCGCGGGAGTTAAGTTCCAGAGGCCCCCGCAACAGGTGAAAATCTGTGAAGCAGCGGTGTTATATTTATTTTATTATTTATATATATTTTAAGGCTTTATAAACCCTTCCCACACTCCTATAAACCCTTCCTACACTCCTGCTTTCTTTCCCAGGGAGACCTTTCTTCCCAAAGCCTCGGCTTGCAGCTGGGGAGGCATCTGGAAACCGCTGAGCGAATCAGCGTCTCAGCTCTGAGGGCAGGAGGGGAGGACAGGGCAGATGGGGATGGAGGGTGGAAGTGGGTCCGGGAGTGGGGCTCACAGGACCCAGTAGAGCTGCAGCCAAGCCGAGCCCAGCACCTGACCCTCAACCTTCACCCGGCCCAGGCCTGCTTGGAGCATGGCCCAGGGCCAGAGGTGGTGCCATGCACTCCCCCTGCATATAAGCAGCGCCTACCTGGTGCGGGTCTTGGGTCCTGGTCCGCTTGCGTGGCCAGGTGGCTGTGCCGGGCTCAGGCGGGAGGTAGTGACGTACTGCATTTCCATTGTGTACTGTACAGAATTCATCTGATCATGAAATACATACTGTACAGTATTTTAGTTCAATTTAATATTCTTTTAATATGTTTGAATTAACATTTTTAATATTTTTATATTGTTTTAAATTTTTTACGCAAAAAATAATTAGAATCATAAATATTATATAAATACCTATGTGCTACAAAATCCCATGATAATAGCGAAAACTCCGTGATACAGAATGAGATATATTTTTTTAAAAAACCCGCGGTACACTGAAGCCATAATAAGAGAACCATGATATAGGGAGGGACGACTGTAGATGGAGTTACTAAAAACTCAAGGTCTCAAATCTTAATGTGCTTGGCAGTACTTTTATTCTAATTAGCTCTTTGTCTCTTTATCCTATTTTTCATGCAACCCCACCCTGCTGCCAGCCAGCTATTTGGTCACGTCTCTTACTAGATAGCATTTTGTCTGACTTCACAGAAAAATGAAAGGCATAAAGTAGCAACTCCTTCAGCTTCCTGCAAACAAGTTCTGCTGTATCCATGCCCATCTTGTTCCTACCAAGCCATCCTCCTCAACTTTCTAACTTCCTATTTCTCTAAAGTTCAAAGGTGATCACAGTGTCCTCCCAATACTATTCAAAACCTCTCCTTTTGCCTGAGAAAAATCTGCAGGAGTCCTGGCGAGACTTCAAATATTTCCTAACAGCATTTTTCCTGTTTTTCTTTCACAGTTGTGTTTATGACTCACTACCTGTGCTTTAGCCTCTACTTTCCAACTGCAGTTTTTGAAATTCTGTGTGTGTCCTTACCTCCTGGCCTTTGCATATGACATGCCTTCTGCCTAGAGTTCTTTCTTGTCCCCCTCACTGTCCCTGTCCAGTTAACTCCTATTTGCCTTTGATATTCCAACTAAGATCTTCCTTTCTCAGGAAACCTTCCCTGCCTTCACCAAGGCCCCAGATATTATGTGTCATCATGTGTTTGTCTCTTGATTTTGGCTCTTACTTAGTAGTCATTTTAATGTATAATAGTTATGTGTTAACATTATACCTGTTTGTGTTGAAGGTACAGTAAGATCCTTGACAGCAGGGGCTCTTGCTTGTTCAGCATTGTCTCTTTTGTGTCCAGTAGTGCACTTGGAAGCCACACAAAAAATATTTGTAGTACTTAGATCAAATGAACAGCAAATGTCTAAACTGACTCATGAAAGATTGCAAACTGAAAGATCACAAGGAGAAGAATGATAGAAAGGGCATGCCTTGTAGAAGGCATTGATTGAGCAAGATAACTCATGGAATGGTATGTTAAGAGAAGGCAGAAATTTGAAAAGATGAATGGATAGAATCCCGGAGAACTTTCTTTTGAGATTTGTAGGACTGGAGTTTCTGATGTTGTTGAGCAAAATTAGATAATCATTTGAGTGAACCAACAACAGATAGTTGATTGAATTGATGAGTTGTCTAATTAATTGGTCAGTTCAGTGAAATACTACAGTTGGCTGGGTACCTCGGATTGTAAAACTCAGTGATAGCTTGAAAAATGTCACGTCAATATCCTTAAAATAAGGAACAGTTAAGAAGCAGAGTATTAAATCTCTGTCATTACTGTTTCTTTAATTCTGGAAAATTCTTAATTATTGTCTCATCAAATATAGTTTCTATACCCTTTCCTTCCTGCTTTGTGAAACTGGAATTTAGAGCAGGAATCTGGAAATTTGTGTGTAAGGGGCAAAGAGTGAATATAAATGGACTATGTGGGCTGTTCTGTTCTTGTTACAATTACTTAATGCTACTGTTGTGGCTGAGAGTTGTCATAAAACATAGACCAACCAGTGTGGTTGTGTTCTCATAAAGCTTTTCTTAGTGATTCTGAAAAGGGACCTTTCACGTGTCACAAAATATTGCTCTTCTTTTGATTTTTCCCAATTATTAATAAGTATAAAACCACGCAGTCATGGGCTGCATACAAACAAGCAGACAGCTTGCTTTGGCCCGTGAGTCATAGCTTATTGAGCCCTGTATTAGGGTATCTCAGTTCCAAACCTGTGTCTCTAAGCTGTGCTCACATGGTGTAACTTTGGTTTCTCTGTGCTTTCTGCTGGATGAATTCCTTACCGAGCTCTTCCAGTTCCAAAATTCTGCTCTTGATCTTGTCCAGTGTAGGGTTTTACTTATCTATATAAGTTTCTTTTACAATTTTAATGATTACTTTTTAAATTCCAAGATTTTTTAATTGGCTCTTTTTTAGGTTTACATGATCTTATATTATTTCTACCTGTTCTTGTTTCACAATTTCTTGTCTCCTTTAAATAAGACTGTTACTTCACTTTCAATTCAGTAGCTTAAAAAATACTATTTTATAGTCTTTTTATGCTGTTCTATAAGGTTAATTTTATCTGTTTTGCATTCCTGTATTTATTATGAATTTTCAGCTCTTTTAGCACTAGATTATCTCATGTATTTTCTAATTTTTTATACAGTTAATTTTAAGTGCCCTGTTATGGTTTATGTCTAGATGTCCCCCCAAAAGCCTCATGCAGTTTTAGATGGGCTTTTTCGGAGGTGGTTAAATCTAGAGTGTGTGATTGACTCATGGTACAATGCTAGGATTAAGAGTACTGGAATTAAGAGTGGGTGATCACTGGATCAGTCCACTGATTAAATTGGCACCACCCTAACCACGGTAGACTGGTTACAATATAAGGGGCAGAAAGAGAAAGAGGGTTGTCTCCTCCTTCCCTCGGTTGCTTTTGCTGTCTTCCACGACCATGAACTTTTGCCCTTCTGCCATGTGCCACCCTGCCTTGAAGCCAGCTGATTACAGAATGAAACCTCTACAAACCGTGAGCTAAATAAACCTTTCCTCCCTAACTTTTGGCATCAGCTATTTTGTCTCAGCAAGGAGATAAGTAACTAAGACAGGTCCTATCATATTTCTTCCCACTTAGTGATCACCTTTTCCTGTCTAGTGGTTTGTGGTTGCCTCTACCTTTACTGCTTCCTCCCCAGGTTCTGGATCAGTTCTCATAGTAATAGCATTTTTGAACTCCTTAAAATCATGTTAGGTTCAGAGATGTTTATCCTACTATTGACCTTAATTATGTTTTTATATTGTTCTGCAGTTTGGGAGAAAAGGATACCTCAAATTTTCTCATTCTGTACTATCTTGACTGGAAATAAAGTCACTTTTATACTCTGGTTTAACACCCTTTGGTTTAAATTCTGGTAGACAGAAAGGACCTGAAGTCAGTCTATCTTGCTGATCACTATTTTGCCAATACTAAGTACAGAACAGTTACTAAATTAATGTATATGTAAAGAATGAGTATTGAAGAAATCATGCAGCTAATGAGTAACCTAGGTATATACTTAACTCAAATCTTGTTCTTTATGGAAGTCGCAATTTTTATTTCGTGACAAGCATGATTAGGACTATACTCACCTTTTCCTCCATGTATCATTTATGCCATATATTCAGTGC